TAACAGCAACTGGGGAGACAGAACATAGGAACCTGAAACATGGTACAGACAGGCACAGTAGACACAAAATGGAACACAGTGAAGCCATATTACAAGAACTAAGCCGATGATAACCATAACTGAAACCTAGGGAAATAATAACTATAAAGATCAAAACAGCACAACCCACATGAACATAATGAACTCACAGGGAAAGAGTAAAACTAACAGTGAACAGTGAACATAGAAACACAAGACCTCTTCAAAATAAAACAGGAAACATAAGACGCAGACATGACAACCTGAACTAGACAATGTAAGACACAGACATGAAACACATGAAGGGCAAGGGAGACTTAACAGGGGTTGGAGGACACAAGGGGAATCTAATAACAAAGAACTATAACAACCTAGGCATGATAAAAACTTGGAAAACCTAAAGGGCTTAAATATGAACATGAACATAAACTAAAACTCCAAAACGCTGGGCCATGAGACCCGGGATCGTGATATAAAGTGGTTACTTCTGGTGACAGAGTAGGCTCTTTTTAGAGGTTAATAATGAAATCAATGAAATTAAATGTACTTGATGCCAACCCACCTTATAAGATGACATTATCTCCACCATTATTTTCTATTTAAGTGAAGCCTCACACTCAGTTTACAAGCCAACTGAAATGTGGTTGGATTTCAGAAGACTTGTTGGGACTGACTTCTCACCAGCATCATGTCAGTGGTAACAACGACTCAACTATTATGTTCTCCAACTGGGAACACATATTTCAAGAAACTCCCTTTTTGCTTTGTATGTAGTGTTATGAAGCTTAAGGGCACAGTGCTTATACTGCTGTATGTATGATGATGACTAAGGTTTGTATACAAATACCATATAATTCATTCATAATATTCCTGTATGGGGGCTGATGGATGTTGTGGGGTTAAACGTAGTTGAAAACACTGCAATATAAACTCTGTGATGAAGACCTTCATTCAAACTTTGACAAAAGCAGATAAAAGGCAGGAAGGGTTTTCAGTTTTTCTATAAAATTCCAAGGAATGTGTCAACTAAAGCTCTGGGCCTACGTACTTTACACTGTCCTGTTTCTTCAGTTGTAACAGCTTCTGTTGATAACGTGGCTGCAGAGTCAGATCATCCTCCAGCTCCTCCTCTTCCTCTGAAAGAGGAGCTGCTGGTACAAGAAGAGGAAGGAGCCACAGGAGATAAAGAAGATACAGGGACACACACAGGTAAAGAGCACACATGGCCACAGGTTGTTTTAACCACCTGATAATTCAAAGAAACTCCTGACCCTTCACACAGCTGTATAGACAGTTTCAGCAGTCGTGTTGCCGTTCTGTGCTTCGCTGCTTTCTATACAGACTTTTCCCACATTTGGTTGTATGAAAAATTGGTGACACAAAACTTTGGTGCCCACCTTTAAAACACCTCTTTATATAAATTATCAGAGTTTGACCAACATTTATATACTGATATACTCTTTTCTCTTCTTAGCAGACATATACAGCTATAAGGTGGTTTGTCTACATTAAAGTACATTTTCTGTCCTAATGGTGTCTGTGTTTTGTTGTCTCACTTTGATCATGCTGTATTTTCCAATGACCAGTATCAGCTGGGAGTCAGAAAATGTTGTTTTAATGTGTGTTTTTCAGATTTGGATCCTGTGCAGAGACTCTTCCTGGAGAAGATCAGAGAATACACTAACATGCACAGGTAGAGAGATAAAGAGTTACAGTTGAATTTAATAGGAAAAACATTTAGAGAGTCTACATTACAGCTAGAATAACCAACACATTAATTATTGTACATTTCCTCAGAAGCTTTATCCACACTACCAGATATAATTATCTGTCTGAATCCCATTATCAGAAAATCAACCGTAATTACATTTTGTCTAAGTGTCTGCCAGGTATTGGCAACATGTGGACTGTTTATTCCTACTGTTTGTTCCATGCTACATGTATTCTTATTTAACTTTGCGTATTCCTTTCCTCATAAAAAATGTATGAGTGAAACTCTTTAACTGGAAGCAAGCCGTGTAAAGAGACATCAGCTGATTTGTCATCTCACTCTTTAAGGTCGAATGCAGGATTCCTGGAGGCGGAGCCAGATTACCAAAAAAACCTGTCAGAGGAGACGGCTAAGCTCCAGAGAGTCTATGGAGGAGGAGACCTCAGCAGCTTCCCTCAGTTCACCTTCAATGGTGAGAGTGATGATGAAAGGAGTGATGGGGAATGCTCAGTGACATGGCATTGTGGAGTGTATGAGAAATCCACCTGGACTGTGTATAAAGTATAACGCCGCTCTGTTCCAACCTTTTCAGGTGGCAAATTGCCCTCATAAAATAGATTCATGAATGGGAAAAAATTGGAGCTGTACTGCATGATTTGGGGATCTGGCTTAAATTAAAGTGAGGAGAGACCCTGGGACAGGACCAAGACATACTGCATTCATATCCCCCAGAAGATCTGCGGGTGGTGGCTGGGTACAGGGAGGTCTGAGTGTCTCTACTTAGACTGCTAGATGGATAAGCTGCAGGTTGTAAAATACAGCGTGTTGTCACATAAATCTGATTGAGATCCTTAATTCCAAATATCGCATTGGTGGATACCTAATCACAGCAGCAGCTAGAAGTATGATGGGGAAAAACAGAAACATCCACCCAAAAGGGGAGAATTTCAGTTCAGTTTTATTCACATCGTGCCAATTTGCAACAACAGTCACCTCAAAATGTTCTTTATTGTAAGGTGGAGACACTACAATGAGCAAGAAGTTGGTGACAGTGGAAAGTAAAAACTCCCTTTTAACAGGAAGAAACCTCCCTTTGATTTATAGTAGGAATACAAGAGGAAAACTTTTTTTAAAAGCTGTTTAAAATGTATAGAAATGCTTAGAATATCTCCCTGTGGAGATGATTCTCTTTGGAATCTTATGATGCTGCTGTTCTGTAGCACTGCTAATGATGGGCAGTAACATGACAAAAATGTTACAAGATAATTAAAAGAAATTAACACACTTCTGCTGTTTTCTCTCTAGATCCCAAATTGGACCAGGAGTCCAAATGATCTGTGAATGGTGCCTCCAACTCTCTACACTCTTCCTCAACCTCTCCCTCTCCATTAACTCCTCAATTCATCTTTATTCCAAGGAAGAAAAAAGAGGAAGCATATGCATTGAAATCTAACGGTGTGGTTCTCTGGCTAAAATGTGGGGAACGTGTTACTTGTGGGTGTTTGTTTTCTGTGTGATGTCCAGTACTGACATTTATTAGATTAAAACACAAAAAAAGCATTTTTTTAAATGTTCAGCAGCATTTGTGTGTGTGTGTGTGTGTGTGTGTGTGTGTGTGTGTGTGTGTGTGTGTGTGTGTGTGTGAGAGAGAGAGAGACGCAATTAAAGTATAACACACAATGCCTCATTGAACAGCAGATGGAGCTGTCAGCCACATCGCTCTCATTTGGCTCCATTTATCTTCCATATACCTCTCTGTTTCTGCACCTTACACCCTCACATTTCTCTGTATTCTCTGCATATGTGAGCTATCTTTTTCTGTGTTGCCTCTCTCAGTTTTGGCATGTGGTGACAGAAGCAGCACTTGTCACTTCAAACCCCCAGCCCCCACCCACCATCCCTCAGTCACGACTCTGTCATAGAGATGGTGTGAGTCATAAAACGCCAAAAAAAAGGAACACAGCACCAAACTACATCCTAAAAAAAATCCAAATCCTAAATTTTGCTCTTGCTTTGGCCATTTACGTGTTAATCATTTATTTTACCCTGCATCTGAATAATAAGTTAATGTAAAATGTTATCCACAATAATTCGGCTGTATACAGAATAGAATTAAATAGAACTAAATAGAAAAAATAAGAGCTCATTCATTCAAATCCAGCTGTGCTGACGGGGATGCGCTAGTGGTGTTGACGTCAGTCGTTAGGCGGTCACACAGAATGCCTGTGTAGAATTACGGCGAGCGCGCGTGCGTGTATGTGTGTAAATTTTGTCCATGCTGCGCGCGACCGTTTGTTTTGCCTGGGTCAACACATGAAGGACTTTAATATCAACACTGCACAAAGTACACACAGCGCTTACCGTAAATAAAACGGTTCCCGCTGTTTGTGTGTGCGCGCGCGTGTGTATCATTGGCGTATCCGCGCGACACCCCTCTCTCCACCTCCCGACGTCACCGCTCTCCATCACTCGTTAAGGGCTCCGGCTACAACCAGCGCTCACACAGACGTACGCGCGCGCACAGCCGCTAGCCAGCAGGCTAACTACCGTTTCCTCTTTCCCTACCGGCGGTGCGGTCGTTGCGTTCAAACTGTGTTTTCCCGGTGTTGTTATGTGAAGACGTGACTCTCGTCGTATAACGGAGAATATTTATCTGCATCTCTTCCTCGGCTGACCGGGAGCCGCCATGGAATGCCGCGTCCTGTCCATACAGAGCCATGTAGTCCGGGGATATGTGGGCAACAAGAGCGCCTCTTTCCCGTTACAGGTAAATACAATTTACATGCACCCGTTTTCGGACAACGAGCGACCAGACGCTCGTTATCGGACACGACCCTGTCTGACGTGTTTCACTGCCCTTTGCCAACAAAATCCGACTGCGGCACTCTTATCAGCGCCAAACAGGAACGTGTAAATGGCTAATTAGATGGTGGAAAGTTAGTACAGTCTTGGATGCGTTTATTTATGGATCCGGTTAGTTGTAATTTCCCAGCTGTGAGAGTGAAAAGCGGACATAATCGACGGCGATGTTAGATGTGCAACGAGAATCTAAAAATAACTGTGTAGTAGCCCAGATATTGAGGGACAGCCGCGACGACAGGTGTCGTGCATAATACCCCCCCAAACCTGTGCATCCTTATCAGAGATGGGAATGTTAATCAGCAGAGGTGTTTTTTTCTACCAGCGTCTTCGTTATCTGCACATTTAGCCACCAAATGAAGAGGAAAGTCGTTATCTGCTAGAGAAATTGCGGCGCGACACATGTCATTGAGGGTGTCCGATAATGGAGCAAGGTGTTCTTCATCATAATCCGTGGAGAGAAAACACGAGGCTGTATATTTAAGCTGTATAAAAACGTGTAGCCTACCAGTACTTTTTGAATGAATCATCCAACAGTGATCAACAGCCTGAGGATTTGCATACAAAACCAGTGCAGTTATAATATGTCCTATTATTGTCATTACAAAACAAATATCGCAGTGAAAAAACCCTTAAACTATACCCTGCTTTACTACAATTTGAAAGTCTTCCTTGTGAATTGGATTGCACCCCCTGACATTAGATTTCCTTAAGGAAAGCAAGTGTGAATATTGAGCCAGAATTAAAATAAAGAAATGATTGGGCATGATTTTCAAGCCCTTTATTTATATTGATATAGCTAAAAGTCATAATCAAAGTATTAATCTGACTGAAGTAATGCTATAGAAGTTTTTGATCAAAATAAAACTTAAGTAACAGGACTCCTTGTGCAGAATAGCATACGATACATTAGTGCATCTGCTGGGTACCTTTTCTATAATAATACTGCATAATATACCTTTATATTTCTAGTTTCAATTCTGGAACATAATAGGTAACCAAAGCTTTAATATAAATGATGCAGAGTATCATTTGTAAAATTTAAAGTAGTAGAAGTAGAAAGACCAACAACACCACAGAACAAACCGCAAATGATGTGCAAGAACTTGGTGACAATGGGAACAAAGAACTCCCATTTACCAGGAAAATACCTCCCGCAGAAATTGGCTCAGGAACTGGAAACAAACAAAAGTGTTTGTCTCCTGAATCCAAACTGGAAGCTGCTTCCACAGGAGAGGGTACTGATCGCTCAAGGCTCTGCCTTCCATTCAACTTTTGGAAACTGTAGGAACTGCAAATAAGCCTGCAGTCTGGAAAGAGGCTGATATTGGAGAAATATGGCCTCTATTTGAGATCAAGGCTTTTCAGGGAGAACTTGATAATTAATAATTACAATAGGTCAAAGTAGATGTAACGAGTTTCATCAATACAAAGAAGGCAAATGAAAGAAGGCAGTCATAGCTATTAGCTGCACCACGTCTCATCATTCACAGTAATACTGAAAATTTTATTTACATGGTTATACAGTGTTATATCAGTGGTACCCTGATATAACACAAGACAAGCGCACACATGTCTGAAACTGAGAGAAATTTAGTAAAAGGGTAGTTATAATAACAACAAGGACACAGTTGGAAAGACACTTGGAGCTGTACTCCAAGTGTCAGGAAGAGCAAAATGGATGTAATTTACTGATGTGGTTACATGGTGTGGCAAAGTAGGGCTTTAGGAAACTGGTTGAAAAGCTTGACCCAAGATACACCATCCCGGGTAGAATATATATTTCATTTTAGTTTTATTAGGGACAAGCTATTAATTCAAAATCTCTGTTCACCTGAGTGTGTAACAGGTGAAAGAAAAATGCTTATTGCTGATACATTTAGGTTGTTAAATTACAATCATCTACCTGATGAAAGTCAACTGGACTGGAACCTTGTAGTTTAATAAATGTATTGGTGGTAAGCGACACCATGAGCGGGAACTGCATTTAATTGTTTTGGTGAAATGTTTTTATGTGACATACTTTTTTATTAAATTAAACAGTTGTGTTATACTTTTACTTAAAAGTCAGAGAGTTTTTATATCAGCAGAAATACTGTTATCACAGATTTGCTAAAAATTGTAAGATAATTTTGTACTTGATGGCCATACCTGGTTAGACACCATGATTCCATGATTTTTTGGGCTAACTATGATAGTAATTGCTAAGTAGTTTATTAACGTACCACACAAAAGAATTGAGCAGAAGTACTACGTTACATCCCACCAGTAGTCCTATCACCATCATTGAATAGTGTTAAGTATTAACAGTACTCAAGCCCAATAGGGAGGTAAAATGAAGCTGGAAGTTGTCTTAATCACAAAGTGTTGCACTAATGATAAAGGTTGTAGAGCAACTTATTTAACAGTGGGAACAACTTTGCTGTGACAGAGTTTTGTCTGATAACAAACCACATGCTGTTTAATAAATGTAAAATGAAAGTTTAATGCAGCAGTATCTTGTACTTAAGATGTTTTGAAGAAAAAAAAACTAGGCAGATTAATAGCCTGTAACTCAGAAAGTCTTGGTACTGTGAAGGTAATTTTTTTTGTAATGGTCTTTGGATATCATATGATATATAACATTTGTTAGCTGATCATAACAAATGTTCAGCTGGTTCTGAATTGCTCAGGTCGGACTTTTTTTTTCCCAGATTCATAAAATGAAAATCATTTCATTACACATTATAATGTGGCTGCCTCATCACAACATTGGAAAGATGTTGGTTGGTTTGGTGTCCTCGTAGCATTTTGTTAGAGTTATTTATCTAACTAGGATTTCAAGTATGTTAATTTCTTTCCAACTTTACTTCTTCAGAAGTTAAGAAATGCCATTGTACAATTTTCTTGTCAGTTTCCCTGCTTCTTGTGAACTTGGCATTTTTTATCTTAAATTTGCCTTTTTGTACATCTGCCATTTTTTCTTTTTTCCTAAGAAATTTTCCTCTTTTGTTTCACATAATGCACCGTTTGAATCTAGAGTCTAAAGTTGGTCCTTTATAGTTAATTTGATATGTGAGACCTAGAGACCTAGTGTTCTTGCCATCAACTGACAGTGAAAATCTTTTCCTTTAGGATCTCTGATGTTTACAGTATATCACCTTTATTTACTGTATAGCACATTTAAACCAGGACATAGGATGATGCAGACGGATTGCTTTGAGCCTGTGATTATCTTGATTACACTGAGGATGGTTATAATTTTAGTGTGCCAGTAGTGATGCAGTCAGTAGTGGTAGTGAGGCGTTATCGGCCAACAGTACAGTACATCACCCTGAAAGACTGGAGCTTGTTGTAAGAAGGTTCAGGTTTATTTTTAGCTTGCAGTACCCCAGGGTGAATTTTGCGGTTATCCCAGTGACTTGTAGGCTTTGATGCATGTCACCAGAGTCCAGTAGAGACACTAATGTTCAACTACTACGCCTGGTTAAGCCTGTTTATACAAGGCTAATACTAAAGCAGTCTTAACTAGTGCAATGTAAAGTGTACTGTAAAAAATTGTCATTATGGCTGCTTATAGCTTAGGTTAGTAGGATCACTGACACTTGTCTCTAAGTTTTCAAGACTGATGTCTTGGATTCATGATAAATATCTGAATAGGTAACAAATTTGCTGGGTTGTAGGTTGTTTTTTTTTCTTCAGTTTCTCCTTAATATTATTTCATAATACAACGGTAATGCAGCCTTAGCTGAGATGCTCAGATCCCTCTCTTTAGCCACCTCCATCAGCTCATTTGGGGGGAATACCAAGGCATTCCTTGACCAGCTGAAAGATTTACTCACTGTGCCCAGAGTCTACCCTGGTGCTTCCTGACAGGGCATGCTTGGAACACCTCAGCCCAGGAGGCATCCTAGTCAGATACCTGAACCACCTCACCTGTCTGTTTTTGTGATTGGAGCATTACTTTCCCCTTTTGAATTGCCTGAAACCAACTTAAACTCTTTCATGGCCTCACAAAGATCCTCCCACATGCATGTTTTTGCTTCAGCTGCTGTCAGAGCCACACTCTTAGCTTGCTGCTATCTGTCAGCTACCTCTGATATACCTCAGGGTAACCAAGCCCAGTACAACTCGTTCTTGAGCATGATGGATCCTTTCACCATCTGGTTTAGGGACTATCTCAATAACAGGCATCCACTACTTTGTGGCTGCAGTTCTGTGCAGTTGCCTCGGCAGTGGAGGTACAAAATATGGTCTATTCAGTCTCAATGTCTCTGATATTCATTGTAATGCTTTTGAAGTTCTGCTGAAGGTGGGAATTGAAGATTTTGTGGACCAGCGCCTCTACCTCTGCTGGATTCTCTCAGTGCACCTGCACAATAGGTTTAGGTTTGGGTGCACCAGGGCTGTCCACTATCCTCCTCTGCCACCTGATCCAACTCACCAGGTGGTGATCAGTTAACCGCTTAGCATCTCTCTTCACCCGAGTGTCTGAGACATATGGTCCCAGATCTGATGAAAGAATTACAAAATTGATATTGTTCTGCAATGCAGAGTGTCCTGGTGCAATAATTAACACGCTCATGCTTGAACATGGTGTCCATTATGAATACACTGATAAGCCTTGCTAAGAGAGCCAGCATTTGTGTTAGAATATCAAGAGTCTGCAAGAACATACATTTTCTAGGAGCTGCTCATGGTGCCAGTGTGTATAATGAGTGTGTCTGGATGGTGATTGCGGCAGACAGACTGTGTGAATGAACCACTGCTGATGCTTGTGGACATAAGCAAAAATTAATTAATTAAAAAAAGGGCAGTGTGTTAAATTTAGACTTCAATGGAAAACCCACAGGTCAATGAAGGAGAAAGTCTCACCATGCACAGTAACAACCATGATTCAGCTGGTGTCACAGATCAGAGAGAAGAAGATGATGATGGTGATGAGGATGATGTCAGCGAGCGTGCCGGGCATCCCTCTCTCTTCTGTCACGACGGAGAATCTGTGGCATGTCAGCAGCCAGGAGACGGCAACATGAGAAAGCAGGGCTCTGATTGGCTGCCACAGGATTCCTCCTAATGACGTCAGAAAAGATGGAGACAGGCTGCCTTAAAGTTAAAGCTTCAGCTTTCACATAGAAACAGCATTCAAGGGCACTGGCACCCTCCATAATATCAAATAGCGATTTTTTTTAACATTAAAAAATAATGAGTACATATAAATTTTACATCTTGATTTCTTTTAAGTGCCAGAAGTGGAAAGGAATAGTTCTTTCAAAAATAATGTACAGAGTAACTGCACAAGAGAAGAGTGTAGCAGTTAAAGTGGAATAAGTGATCCTTATTATAAAACTTTTAAGTTATATCAGACTTTAGTGACATGCACCCACAGGTATGGGCATTTCCAAATAGTGGAGAAAAGCTGACTTTTATTTCTCACTCTGTTATATAAATCAAACTGAACTGAACAGTCATTGCAGAAGGATGGTGCCAGCGAAGTCACGATGCAGTAAAATTAGCTGTTGTGTTGCCTCAGATGTGATGAGCCAGAAGTGCAACTCGTTAATTGAACTCGTCTTTCGTCAGCTGTGAAAGGGGCTTCCTCGCAGGGGGAATTTACCAAAAGCTTTTCTCCAAGAAGGCAAAATGTTTAATTTTTTTTAATCTGTTAAGATCCTCGCCTTGAGTGAAAGCTTTCCCGTCAGCAGCGGTGCAAACAGTCTGTCAGTGACTTCAGGCCCATGAATAGAGCACGGGAAGATGTGACCTAAATAACATATTCTTAGACCCACCCATGTACATCCGCTGTAAATACACGGTTTTGCATCAACGGCAAATTTGGATCCACGCTGAGGCAAAAGAACACGCTGCGATAAATGTCAGTGACAGTTTGTGTAGTCACAGCAAAGAAACAGATGCTTCCAAACAGACGGGAGGTGATAGGCTGGAAGCTCAAAATCACTTCTGAATTCACTGAAATTTGAAAACTGAAGCTGAAAGAATTCCTAAATGGTAAAATCCAACCTCATCATGCATTTATTGATCACACCCACTACTACTATGAGTAACAACAGTCTTATATCTTGAATAGGATTGAAAGTAGCATTATGCTCAAAGCTGCCATGTTTTTTTAGGTACATGCAGTCCAAAATGCTGCAAATGTTTTTCATATTATTTTACATTGATATTGAAACGTTAAAGTTATGGGGCAATTGTTTTATTAATTTTCTTATAATGTAAAAATAGCAAACAACTTATTGTGAAAGTTACATAAAATGAATGAGTGTTTATCAGAACTGAAGCACAGACTTCTTGGACAGCATGTACTTTGCAGTAAACCAAAATACTAGTCTGATATTTAGATTAAAAATATACAATAACAAGTCAAACAGCAGCAGTTGTTTAATTATAGAGAAACTGCAGTCGAATTTGCTTTGGTCAGTAATTACAATTTGGATTATTTTAACATTAAAAACTGTTTTTTAAGAGGGGGAAATAGAGTGTTTGGGGTAGGGGAGTCAGGGACATCCAGTAGGAAGTTAGTCCCAGACTAGCAGGTGTTTTCGTCTGTAAAGGCAACTACTGGCTCCAGGTAGAGAGACAGAGAGGGACACCAGGATGTCCAGACAACAGTGGGCTTGATCCCTTTTGGAAATCTGCTCTGTAGCTACACAGGGAGCAATTTTCATTGCCACATTTAGCCATTTACCTCGCTTTATTTAGGAAATTTGTATTAAATATTTTGGCAAGGCAACGATCACTTGAGGTTTAAAGTGTAACATGATCACTGACAGTCCTGTAAGTTAGGACAACAGAAGACTCTCCTTGAAGGATAATGCAAATATTAATATATCAAAAAAGGTCATAATTCATTCAGTTCTGTGTGCACAGGAGTGTAATGTGACTGCAGTGAATTGTTCTGCATGTTAATCGTGTTTTCTGAATGCTTCACGCTGCTGAAATAAATACAGTGTCCCACCTTTCAGAAACCCGTACAAGGTCAAAGTTAATATCTACACTGTGTTCCTGGGTGGGTGGAGGGGCTCTTCTCTGAAAGAGGATTCTTGTATCTCAAAGTCACAGTCAGTTGAAAAGAACAAAGACCTCATTCACGCTGCCAGCTTTAGCTCAATTAAAATAAAGACATTCAGATAACAATTAACTCAGCACGTGGATGAGCCATGTGTGGGTGTCTCTCTCTCTCTCTCTCTCTCTGGGGTAATTTATAAAAACAAATCTGTTAAGAAACACAGAGAGAGTGAGGACACCACGAGCTGTTTCTTGCAGATCTGTGTGCAGACTTCAGCAGAAGTTACATTTAGACGATGCCTGTATGTCCATCAAGGTTAAATGAAGTCTAACAGTGTGTTTCTTTTTCCCTCCATTGCAGTTTGACTTTTTCATGTTCAACTTTACAGTACTAAAGTATTTTCAGCTCATTATTTTGCAGCTTTACTATGTTGATTTAATATCACAAACACAAAACAAAGGCACTGAGGCTATCTAGTTAGCTACAACTGAACCGCCAAAGTCAACCTGAGAAGGACTGTTCTTTAGTGAGCCTTTGCATTAAAAATGACAAATGACTATCCTCTCTTTGAGGTTGACTTGACACAATGGAGAAGTAACACATTATACATTAAACTCAATCAAACTGTTCACCCAGAAACCAATGTGTCTGCCCTTCTGTTCTTGTTCTGCTTTCATGAAGAAAATTAACTTGGTTAAGTCATCACAGATAATTTCTCCCACTGCTCAAAGGTGGGCAATTACTGCTTTGCCGCAACCAATAAATCCTTACTTGTGGAGAAAACTCAGATTAAATATTTTAATATGCAAACCAAACATGGTGATGGAATCATGGCGATGTAATGACCATATTTCTAAATCTTTTTAATAATTGTTCTAGTACACTGCCAGTCTGTCGCAGGGCTAACACAGACTGACAAACAGCCATTCACACTCACATTCAGACCTATGACCAATTTAGAATCACCAATTAACCTAACCCCCCCTAACGGCATATCTTTGGACCGTGAGAGAAGCCAGAATACATGCAAACTCTGCACAGAAAGGCCCCAGCTAGATCAGGACCTTCTTGCTGTTAGGCAACAAAGCTAACCACTGGGCATCACTGTGCTGCCCGAGGGTCCAACTCCTCCACAATGAAAGCATCAATATTCCAGCAATGTTCCAGTTAAGACATAATGCTCTCGGTCTTTGAAAAGATGAAAGCTTTGTTAGGAATAAGTATATCTCACTAATGTCATAACCTGGTGCCTCACACATCATCACCAGTGAACTCCTTGTGGTACCTGAGACACACCAGCAGCCTGAGACTACAGAATGAAGTCTTTAAAACACAGCCGAGCTGTAAAAGTGTGTTCTCCTGATATCTTCTGACAACTGTTTTCTTTCTGTGTCTTCTGTTTTCAGCTTTTAGGGTTTGAGGTGGACTCAATCAACTCCGTCCAGTTCTCCAACCATACAGGTCAGGCCACTGACTTAGCCTGTGTATCTCTCAGTTCGTGCGTGCCTGCTTTGTGTGGGTGTGTGTGAGTCAGTCAGTTCCCTCGGTGTCGTGATGAGGTGTTGGCGAGTGTTAACAGACATGGTTCCCTTCGAGGCAGCGACCGTGCCGAGGCTGACGACTCGACAGATAAATGAGTTTCTGTGGAGGTCAGCGGCTGCATGCTCAGACACCAGAACAGCTTGGAAACACAGATATAGCTGCAGGGAGATGAACGCCATTCACATTTTATACAAGCTCCATCTCTGTCTCTCTCTTATTGGACATGATGCTGCTGATCTGGTGCCATCTCTATTCTCTTTAAGAAGAATCATCTAAAGATCCCATTTCATGAAAAATTCATTTTTATACTTTTATGAGATTTTTTTAATATGAGCCGTGAAAATCTGAAGTTGCTTAATTGGCTCTCCAGTAAAACTGTTTTGTTTTTTTACATCCTTAAGCTTATTAGCTGTATGTTAAGGGGTTAAATAATTATGAAAGTTTATTGATGACTGTCAAAGTTTAAAATCTAATCAGTATAATTGAAAGAGATGTGTAAAATTTCTGCAAAGGCGTACTTGTGACAGAACTAATTTGATTTGAAGGAACTTGTATGATTGCAGTGATGATGCATCTTGTTACAGAGATGATGCAGACATCGCCTCTGGGCTGTCTGCATCATCTCTCTGTCACATTTAGCCATAATATTTGGATCTGATTGCCAGACGTGAGTGAATAATCTGCACCGTGTCTCCTTTGTCGCACTGATGTGTGGCCCCACTTCATGGAATCCAAGCTAACTGAACCTGAAGAATGAATCAGCTGTGAAAACAAACATATTTGTCCAGCTGTTGCTTGTTGCTTCATAGTGGAGTCAAGAAATAGTAGATCATAACAAAGGTTTGATTTTGTTTGTGGGTGGTAAACTAATTTATCTGCATATCTGATTTCACGTGACCTAAAAGACAGTGCGACCCCCTCGTGTTATGGTTTAATGCAACCGATTCCATACGGTTACTGCTGACTTAGCTGTAAGCTGAAAGTCTGATTGATGAGTGAACTGCTTTGAAGTCAGCCTCAGATTGTTTTGTACGGAGTTGTTATCGACACAGATAATAGTAAGCTTAAAAACAGTGAAAGTGACCTGTGGTGATGTTGCAGACTGAGGCTAAACATAATTGTAGGAGTTTTTGTAGGATAAGTGTCATGTGGGCGAGCCTGGAGCTTAAATGTAGCAGCAGCAGATGGTGGTATTTATATTTGCCTGTTGCAGCCTTTTTCAGTATTTTCAACTACTGCCTAGGTCACGTTTCATGACAGACATGTGAGCTTTAAAGAAAGTTTATGTACCTGAGAGGTTAGATTCAACTTAAGTAGGCTTTCTTTGTGTTAGCTGGTTCAAGAAAACCCCAAACCCGCTTGATCTTTGTAAATAGCTATTTAATGTCTATCTTCTGTTTCTTTACCTTTTTCTGTGTCCTGCTTTTGGGTCCTATTGGTGCATATATAGTGAAATCTCACAGTGAAAAATTTGAAGCCTTTTTTGGGTTTAATTTAGATAACTATCACTTATAGCTCACGAAAATCAGAAATCCGGTTTCTCTTTAGAATATTTCATAGGACATACAAAAAATAATTTACAAAAGAGAAATGTCCAACTTCTGAATAGTATGTTCTCTTATACACTCAGTACAGGCTGGAGCTCCTTTACCGTGAATTACTGAATCAGTGTCACCTTTTTCATTATCACTTTCCGGATGACATTGGATAGTTTTGCAGGAAAAGTTGAGCCAACTCCAGAATTTTCCTCGCAGTCCTTCTGAAATTTGTTTTTTCTTGCATTTCTTGTCTTAGAGAATTACTGGAGTTCAATTTAAACCCTTGGGGACGAGTTAAAGCCAGGAGTGAGTAATCTAATCTGGGGACGAGTTAAAGCCAGGAGTGAGTAATCTAATCACAGGTTGTAAGTTCACTGTTATTATCAATCCACTTGCAGAGTAGACAGTGATACAGCTGAGGACGGTGTGTTGTGGAGAAGAGAAGAAAAAGTCCTCACATCAATTGTGGGATTCTGTTTGAGTGACCTTAACGCAGAAATGCCTCAGACTTTAATCAGATCTTACATTTGCAATTTCTCAGAGGAGAGTGTGTAATTTGGTGTGACATATTGAAGAAGACGTTTTCATCTGAAAAGGGAGAGAAGAGCGGCTGGGGAGAGGGGCAGAGAAGGTGAACAGAGAGGAAAAAAACTGGAGAGAGGAGAGAAAATGAATCAAAGAGAGAGATGATGGAGAGAGAGAGACGCTGGGAGCGGCCATGCGACGCAGCAGTAAACAGCAGCGGGCGTTGGGAAATTGCGACAGCAGCGTGCGATGACGTCAGAAGCAGCTCTTATCTGAAGGCCTGCCTTCATTTTGCCCTCCCTCTCACGCACACACCACTCTGACTGCTCATCTCTTTTCTTAGCCCCCTTTGGCTTTCTCCTGGCTTGTTGCTTAGCAACCAGAACCCCCACCACAACCACGTGACCTGGCTGTGACTCACCTGGAGCCACGACGTCACCAGCTTGCAGCAAACCTGTCATGTGCAGACAGACACCCTCCACACTGGCTTATATGCTTGTGGCCACTTCACATACATACATCCACACCTGTATACAGTATTCAGCACATGCTGAGGCAACACACAAACACTGTGTGTGTGTGTGTGTGTGTGTGTGTGTGTGTGTGTGTGTGTGTGTGTGTGTAGTGGAGCATGTACGTCTTTGTCCTGCTGCTAGCCTCCACTCTGTCCCTGTCTAACCAGATACTGTGTCTGCAGGTATCAGGTCTGCTGTGTGTTTGTGTGTGTGTGTCTGTGTGTGCGTGCATGTATGTGTGTGCGTTCTTCATGCAATTAGATTCAAATTCTGGGTTGTGGGGTAAAGACATGTCTGGGGCACAAAGACCTTCTCAGGAATTTATGATCAGGGTGTTTGTCTTATCCTTTGGATGATGTTTGCAAGGTTTAATTGAAATGAGATATTAAATGTAAAATCTTGATATGTCAGTGAATAAGATGTGATATAATGAAACATTAGATATTATGAAATGTGGGTAGAAAAGTTATCCTGTGTGTGAACCCTGAAAAAGACTGAGGGCATAGACACAGACAGGAAGGGAGGAATAATAGGGAACAGTTGAGCCTAAGCAAACATTAAAAAATACAAATAATAAAGGAGGAAAGAAAACCACACGAAGGTCTGACCTTCAGAATAAAACAGGAAGTAAACTGAAAGAGGGACTGGAGCAAACTCACACAGAGAGAGGCTCGACTAATTAAAGTATCATTGTACAGTTTTCTAATCACATCACGTCATGTTTGATTCTCATTTAAACTTTCTTTGATTTACTTGTTGTGAATTGGTTGAAAAGCTCACATTTCCCTGCAGGAGAAGTGTGTTTTATCCACTGGTCTCTTCACAGCAAACACAGTAACATCTCTCCTGTGCTTTCTGAAGGATATTCTCACTGGAAAGGTCAGGTCTTGACAGCAGATGAGCTTCACGTTCTTTATGAGGGGATCAAACTGAACAACGTGCACCACTATGACTATGTTTTAACAGGTGGGTGTCCTACTTTTTCACATGTACCGCTGCTCAAAATGCAGATATCTGGACAGTTTAATTTAGTTTAATCAGAGTTGATTTTTAGATCCCCCTGAGGTTAAATTTAAATAAGTTCCTTGCAGTCTTCTTACTTTTTTTTAGCATCATGTACTTGTGTGCCAAATGTAGATAACACATGTTATCTACATTTATCAAAGCAGTAGATCAATTTTGACCACGGGAATAAAAAAGAGATAAGAAGTCACAATTTTCTTCTGTAAAAACTTTTTAAGGTAAATCTGAGAATCAGCTTGGATTTAAGTAAGTTTAAGTTCAACTGGGTGCCATTATTGAGATACAGAGCAGTTTAAGTTTAAACAGTTTTTAACAGAAATCAAAACGTATAGTTAGTTATGAATCTTTTCATACACGGCCTATAATAATTTCTCTGCTCTGTCTCTTCCTTGTGTGTGTGTGTGTGTGTGTGTGTGTGTGTGTGTGTGATGTCTGCAGGGTACACCAGAGACACGTCCTTCTTGGAGATGGTGGTGGACATTGTTCAGGAGCTAAAGAGAGCCAACCCCAACCTGGTGTACGGTAAGCAAACACATGGTTTCACAGAGTGAGAAGGGCACAAGAATCACATTAAATGCAACAAAAGATCCACTGCTGGGACTGAGCATTTGGCTGCAATAAAGCTTTAACCTTTGTTACCTTTAGGAAATTCTTGCAGTTAGTAGAACTGCTCAGTTATGGCAAAAACTGCAATCAGATTGTTTTGGTCATACTTTTAAATAATTTTAAGAAAAGTGTCTTTTTACTGGGCATTTCAACTTAAACTTAAGTAAATAATTCAAATGAAAAACAGGTTTCTTTTAGAGTGGTAGATGTGGTGGAGGACAGAGTGGGAGGGACAAAAACAACCGCAGCGTCCTTCCACAGGTCAGTCTCAGATTTATCAAGATGAGAGGTTTGGCTCCTGGGCTGAATGCTTTTACATTACAGGGAGTCATCCAAGCCTTCGTTATCAGAGTTTAAACACATTTTTGGTGAGGCAGCAAAGGCATTTATTATTTAACCAGCTTATTCAAAGTAGATCCACTTCACTCCAGGGATGACTCTGTAGCCTGAAGGATTTTTTTCTCATGTCACACCACTCAGTTTGACTCAAATCAAGACTGTTGCAGTTTTGCCTGTGGACACTGGCAAAACTGCCAGATATACAGATATACACTAGATATACAGTGAGACTTACATTGGGTTTTGTAAGTCTCACTGTGCAAAACATTGGGTTTTGCACAGTGTGTTTACCTAAGCACTTATAGAAGATCCTCTGCTACATGCTGCTGCTGCTGCTGCGAGATGCTTTTGAATGTTGTCATAACATAGGAGAGCAGTGACTGTAAGACAGCATGGGTGTTTTATGGAAGTGAGAGTAATAGTATGCATGTTTCTGGCTGTATTACACATATTTATTTGTCATATCAGAACATTACTGGATGTTTAATCTTTGCCTTATTAGTTCATTATTTCATCAACATCTTCCCAGTAACAGGTTGTACATTTTTTACTGCAGTTAGAAACACATGGAAATATTTCAATGTGACTTTTTTGTGTGGAGAGTGGGGATTGGATAAAAGTCTGATTGGATAAGTGGTTAAGAGGAAGTATGGATGCATGGATTTATGGATGGATGTTTGATCAGATCAGTTCCAGAGTTATAGCATAGTTACCTTTCAAGACCTGATGTCCAACTCCACCCTCAGAACTAAACTTACATTTTTGCCTTCACCACAGCAGAGGCTCCAATAATGAGAAAAAGTATTAAATTGGTCATTTCATAAACTGATATGTAATAAACAGTATAGCCCAAAGCAGGGTCTCCAGGTCTTCTGTTTTAATACTTTAAAAATGGATAATAGGTTTTTCTGTCAGTCTCATTCCCAGCTTGGATGCGCTCATCTCCAAATCCACTTTCATGCCTCCCATCACTGCAGTGTGTTTATGTAATGCACTGATTGCTGGTGTGCTCTCACTCTCAGTATCTTTTTGTCGTTTCAGTGTGTGACCCCGTCCTCGGAGATCATGGATCTATGGTGAGATTACTGATTATTCGTGTACCCTGTTGTATGTGTGTCCATGCTGATGTCTGTTGTTTTTAAGAAGGAATTTTGTGCCTTTCAGTTTTGTGTGGGTGGGATTTAGTGTGTGTGTGTGTGTGTGTGTGTGTGTTTATACAAATATATATATTTGTGTTCGTGTTCTGTGGGTGTGTTACAAGACTAATTTCTCATGACAGAGGGATTATTGTGATCTGACAGTATTACATATACACAGTGACTCACTCTGTGTGTATATATATCTACTGTGTGTGTGTGTGTGTGTCTATATTGTGTATGTATTACATTATGCGGACAGTTTGTGTTGATCATGTAAAAGCATGAAAACAAACATCAGAGAAAAGCTTTGTATTAACTCAGCCCACAGATGAAGTCCTCTGTGTTTGTGTGACTCTGTTTCCACAGTATGTTCCTCAAAATCTTTATCCCGTCTATAAGAACAAGGTGGTTCCTGTTGCTGACATCATCACTCCTAACCAGTTTGAGGCTGAGTAAGTAAAAGTGTTTTCAGTCTTGACAATTTGACGACTCTGTGACCATCTGTTCATTCACCTTCTGATTAGTAGACTAATATCACTGCATAACAAAGCCTTATATTATCGCCAGAGCTTACTTTTATTTATATGGTGCCAGTTCACAATGGTCATTGTCTCAATGTGCTTTACATTGCAAGGTAAAAACTAGATGTTGATCATATGGTCACCAATGAGCAGCCCTTGGTGACAGCAGGAAGGAAGAACTCCTTTTAAACAGGAAGTGAATGCATTACTTTAGTTCCCTAGTAAGAACATTCATTGACATGAATGCATTCCCAATCCTCTTACAGGTAAGTTTAATCATCACAGCTTAATTCCGAACCCTGATCCCCAAGTTAAGTGTAATCTGCAAAGTAATAATAATGTAATGTAATAATGTGAGCAAGTAGGTCTCATAAAGAGTGTTTTCATTTCATTTTATTTATTTACTGCCTGGTTTCCTGACAGTGACTGCTACATGTGAGCAGATGCAATCACACACACATTCTGTGAGTCCTTACAACGGTCCTCTGCTCATGTCTGAGACAAACTCTCCCTGAATGGTTTTGTAGTTGTTCTGATTTTCTGAGTATATTGGTGCAAACGGCCTTTATGTAATGCCACTTATGTTACCTAATACTTCCATTTTGTGGTCCCAAAAATACATCTTTGCTCCCCTTGTATCCTCTCTTATCTTTCTTGTTAATTTTTCCTTCCACACGTTATGAGAATCTCTTTTATGTATTCTTAATTTAAGCACTGTAAATCCAAGATGACTTGAGTTCTTTGAAAATACATTACTTTAATCAGTTACTTATTTCCTCTCTAAATATTTCTTTATAAATAGTGGTTGTGTAAATAAAGATGGATCCTTTCTTCTGTCACTCCTCTTTACCCTGAGATCACACAGTGAGATTGCATCATTAGAGCTTTGCTGTTTTTGGAACAAGCTTAAGTCTGATTCACGCTCCAGTTCAAAGGTTATACCAGCAGGAGAGCGCAGAATACAGTTAGTGCCATTCAAGTACAGTAATGATTGATTAAGTCGAAAATAATTTGTCAGCTCAGCAACAGAAGAAAAAAAATTCTGACAGTTGCTTTGATCTTTTTTTTGTAGTCTGTTCAAACTGTTTTAGTGGTCCATTATCTGTAGGTCATGGACCACGAGATGGACCCAGGCAGAGTGATTAGTGCATCCTGTAAAGCAGCATAATAGCCTAACAGCTAACATTAGGTACAGTTTTAGCTTGACGCTATATATAATGGTCTTTAAAATACACAATTCGAATAATTTGGAACTTGAAGCATTTTGATGGAAACTGCTAAATTGAACCTCTTGTCAGTCGGCCTGTTCGTGGAAAAGTAAAGATGGTGGTTGAAGCCCAGTCCTAATAGTTTGCATTATGTCATTCGCGTTCTGTTTGTTTTCTCATCACATTAATAAACATGAAACTATTTGAAAACCTTTTTGAATGTATATTAGTGTCTCTATAAGAAAACAATTTTCTGCACTAAGTCATTTAACGTGGTAAGATTTAAAGCCTTATTTTTACCTCCTTTATAGTAGGACTCAGTGGACCTAACAGATGAAGCCATCAGATTCTTTGTTATATATTCTTAAAAGTGTAACATCTGCTGCTTAGGTTTTAAATGACGTTTTTATGATCTCCACAGTCACATGTGAAGGTTTTTTAACCCTTACAGCCTCTTTTTTGCAGTAATATTAAGCAGTTTAAGAATCTCACATCTGTCACAGCTTTATTGTGAAGTTACTCCACCTGCTGGTTTGTCTGTATGCCTGCAGAATCAGACTGAATCAGGTTCTGTTCATGAAAGAGTCTTGATTTAGTGTCTTCAGGGTCTTTGTTGCAACTATGTTTTCACACGTTATTTATTTTGCAGCTGTTGTGATTGTTTGCTTGTGTTTTAGATTATTGACGGGGAAAAACATCAGCACAGAGAAAGACGCTGTAGAGGTAACATATCTACTTATCCTGTTTTTCTTCTCTACATGAACATTAGTTCTTGCTGTAAAAGTAGAGTTTGTCTTTTTGCCTTTTCCAGCTTCATATTTCTGTATCTCATGTTCTGATTGTAGGTAATGGACCTCCTCCATGCGATGGGCCCAGACACAGTGGTTATTACGTCCTCTGATCTTCCCTCTAGACTGGGAGACCGCTTCCTGGTGTCATTGGGCAGCCAGCGTCATGGTAGGCGACAGGATTAGGAATGTAGTTTGACATTAATACAGGAATTTAACCTGTTGTGTGTCTGTTGTGCTGTTCAGTTCGTCCAGATGGCAGCAGGACAACACAGAGAGTGCGATTAGAAGTTCCCAAAGTGGATGCTGTCTTTGTAGGAACTGGAGACTTGTTTGCTGCTATGTTGCTAGCGTGGACACATCACTACCCCACTGACCTAAAGGTACACACTCACAAACAAACACAGAAAAACTGTTTGGAGCTCAGTCCAAAGTAACTGAAAGTTTGAGGAATAGGAACAGATTAAAAGACCTGCAGAGATTTGATGATTTAGTCCTCTGACTAAAACCAAGAGCAACGGTTCTGCTTTTTGGGGCGATCGTGGCTCAAGAGTTGGCAGTTCGTCTTGTAATAGGAAGGTTGTCGGTTCGAGCCCCGGCTCCGACAGTCTTGGTTGTTGTGTCCTTGGGCAAGACACTTCACCCATTGCCTACTGGTGGTGGTCAGAGGGCCCGGTGGCGGTGTCTTACTACTGCTGCATATTACTGTGAAAACAAATCTTTGTATGCTGTTACAAAAACAATAAAAATATTGTTTAAAAAAAGACTATAACATAAGCTCATGCAACAGTAATGCTGTGTGAGAGGGGTAATCACATAAAAAACATAAAATTCAACCCCTTAGATTTGGCTTTCCTGTCAGGCACTGCTGCTAGTTTTAGATGACTCCATGGAAGTCCCATTCACTTACACTGTGCCCTTTCTGATCTCACCCCAGAGAGCGAATGCTAACTTAATCCATGTGGATGATACTCACTGGTGGTAAAAGCTAAACAGTTTTCAGCAGTTGGTGAGTCCAAACTTTCTAAGTCTGAAGGCTGACCATCAGGGGGAGGAGCGAGACTTCTACCTGATGCTTTTTCAGCACTCATCGGATTGGTGCACTATGACCTCATCCTCCAGGGTCAGACGTCAGTCTGCTGTAATGTCTTGAGGCGTCTGAGGGAGAACATTAAGAGGAATTTATCTCAAATCTGGTGACACGTGTACAATTTTTGCTCACCAAACATGGTATGGTATTTCCACTTAATTTGGTGGAAATACAGCTAAGTAAATAAAAGATAAGGTGACATATTTGAAGTCAGGAAGAAAAAAGATAAATTACTGTTTTGTTTTTTCTTTTCTGTCTCTCAGACGGCCTGTGAGAAAACGTTTTCAGTGATGCATCACGTTATCCAGAGGACCATATCCTACGCTCATGGTGAGAATAACAGAACTAGTTATCAGCGCCTAAAGCTTTCCTTGTTTGAATTTCATGAACAAAAACACTAAGAATTATGTGAAATCAGTTTAAACAGCGTCTTACTTTAGAGTTTCAAAAAATTTTGGGTGGTAAAAATAAAAACTAGCAGTAATATTTCTTACCTGCATGGGTCCTCACTACAGCAGCTCATTGATAAAGTCTGGATTTCTGCTCCTGCTGTTATCAGTTACTGGCTTCTCCTGCATAACTGCTTTTAAATGCGTTGCATGAATGGCAGTTTGTTCATGACACCTGTCTTCAGATTCCAAACTTTGCACAATCAAACTTTGCGGGTTAATTGAATTTTGTGTGACCCTTACCTGCCCCTCTCGCCCTCAGAGTTAGCAGGTCCTGGTCGGAGGCCCAGTCCGCCCCAGCTGGAGCTGCGGATGGTCCAAAGTAAAGCTGACATAGAAGATCCTGCCATAGTTACGGAGGCCACAGTCATATCCTAACGTTGCCCACCCATAAGACTCATACTAACCTCTCCATCCATAAATCTCTCAGCTCCTGTATCTCGGTAAATCTCTCATTACTGTAAACCTTGACTGTCATTGCCTAACTTCAATAACTCATCATCCAGACTCCTTAAACACCTTAGTATTGTAAACCCTTTAGTCCTTTAACCCTTTGAAGTCCTCAGTGTCCTGATCCCTAACTTAACCCTTAACCCTGTTTTGGAACCAGAGCCATGGATAGACAGAAGGTTTGGTCAGGGTATCCGAGAGGACTTTGCAGCAGCTCTTTAGAAATTTTTAGGGCTCTCCGGATGACTCAGATAGGGAACTTCCACAAGCACAAAATGTCATATGTTAAGGTTAATGAGAGTGATGGCTTTAAAAAAAATATCATCCAGTATTCAATCATCTGCACGACAGTGGAATTGATTTGGAGCTGGTAAACTGAGATCTGGGCAAAATTCACAACTGTTATAGAAAACATGGGAGAGGTTTTGTCCTTGGAGTGCTGCTAGGATAAGTTAATAGTCTTACCTCTGGTTTAAAATAATATTTTACCTTTTTTAAGTTTCATAAGACTTATTAATAAGTCTTTTCAAAAAGTTCTCATGGATAACTTGATAACGATCTCGGGTTTAGTTTCTGTGGCTTCTCTTCAGTCTGGCCTGGTTTTTTGCCCCTGTAGCCACACTGAATAGTGATGTCAGTGTATTTGGATGCACGTCAGTCTATTCACAGTGACCCAGCTGCTGAATAACAGCTCTCGCACAGAGTTAGACTGTATTTGTGGTGTTAGTAAGGGTCATGTGTACGAGCAAATGTATGCACGTGCACATGAAAATAGGTGCACCCATGCTTTCTTAAAAAATAAAAAAAACAATAAAGAATGCAAACATTTTCATGGTAAATAGCAATAATCAGCTGCATCTACAGGCCATCCTTGTTCTGCTCTGCAGTGAGCTCAGCATAGGAGCAGTAGAAACAGTTCTCCACCTGCTGCAGGTTCTGATTATTTATTAAAAATTATTTAATTAAGAAATGATGTAAGAGTATCTGAGTTTACTGGGACTAGATGGCTACATAAACCTTTCCCAACAAGTAAAGACATGTAAACTCCACAAACTCCTGCATGGAGTCAACTCCAGGTCCCTCTTGATGTGAGAAAACAGTGTTGCCAAGGATACGGCAGACCTCTGGGTCGAAGCTGATTTTCAGAGCAGAACAAGAATTACTGTCAACAGCTGACTTGGAGTACGCGTGACTGTGGGACGAGATCTTTTTGGTGGATGTAGTTGAGTAATGGAACGTATGAACCTACATGGAACACATCACGGATCCTGGATCTGGTGAGTAAGCCGGCTGATAGAGGAAGAAAGGCTTAGAGGGTCAGGGTTAGGAGTGACTTACCTTTCATCCAAAGAGCGAGGCAGTTGTCCACGGATAAAAATTGAAAAATGAGTTGCAAATTATAACCGGGCAGGCCGCCCAACTAAAGTCTCTTTGTGGAACCACTGAACAAGTTCTCCAAAACTCTACCTCAAAATTATTAAACTTGCCTACTTTATTGCTCTATTACTGCCACCCTGTTAAACTGGCATATTCTGTTTATTTCTGACAGTGTTGCACTCTAGAAGTGGTTCTCCACACCTGACGCCAAGTTGCAAGACTCTAAAGATCAAACACTGTTTTTCTATGGCTCTGCCCACCACTCTTTTAATCCCTTACCCGTCTTACAGCAGTGATGTAATGGTGACCAAGTTTAACCCCTGAGATCTCTTGAAAAATATGAGAAAACAAACAAAAAAAAAACGCACAATGTATAGATGTTGTACTATAACTGTATTGGACCATCTGTATGATATCTTCTATCTGATCTGTCTATTGGACCATTGTGTTGATGCTACTGTACTATAGACTACACGCACTACAATATCACTCAAACAGGAGACGTCCGGGTTGGTTGTGGCACTCGCAGACGCTTCAGTGCCTCTAGTTGTTGTCACCTGATAGTAACTGTCTAAAAATCATAGTGTATAGTTGAACCTTTTTCATCTTAGCACAACATGAAAAAAATGGGCAACCCGAGCTGCCTGAGCTGTCCCCAGCTGATTGTAGACCACTCAGAAATTGGCCACCTCAGTGCCAGAACCAACCCACGTCACGCCGGACGGCTGCCGGCCCAGCTCTCGCCCAGAACTCTATATCTGAAAGTTGAGCCACTGAATTTACTGGAAGCCTCGAGTAGTATCGATAACATCTACAAGCTCTGTAAACTTTTATTTTTAAAAATGAGCTTTTGATTCCCATCACACTCCACTGTGGTCTCTGTCACGTCTTAATCTGTACCAGAAACCTGAATTAGTCTGTGCATGTGCGTACGAGTTCCTATTACCTTTATGTTTAAAAGTAGTCATTAGGTGTGTTATGTAGAAATAGTTCTGTTTGTTGTGGGTGCAGTAAAAGTAGGTCGAATTTCAACCAAATGCTGTGAGTTGAATCTTGAAACGAAAGATTAGTTTTGCACTAAACTAATACAGTTAAGTCGTTAGTACAGCTTAATCTGTTCAAACAGTTTCAGTTAAATCATCATCTTACAAATGTCACAATATAAACAATTTTCCAGAGCCAAAAGTGATTAACAATAAATGCGCCCCAAAAATGCCTCTCTAATTTTTAGTTGCACAAAAAGACATAAAGTCAAATGTCAGGGTTTCAAAATCACAGTATCAGCTTTTGAATTACATTAATATTTGTTATAACCAAAACCAAAACCAGTGGTGGTATTATAACCTGTAGCTTTTCCACAGTGGAACGTGATGGGAAGGGTGAGAGGAGAGCAAATGGCGACAGTGGTCATGAGCTGGTTTCAAACCAATGATGTCGCAAGAACTTGGGATGTGCCTTAGCCCACTGCGCTACAAGGGCACCACAAGAAAGGAGATTTCAGTTTTAAATTACCTCCAGAATCTTTTTTTCTCCTCAATTTTGGAAAGTGCAACCAAATATTCAGAGGCTTAAAAAAAACAAAAAACCAGCCAGAAGCCATCAGTGATCCACCTGAGCTGGATGTAAGGTTCTGGGCAAGTCAGTGTATTTCTGTACTGCTGTTGTTTCTCTATGGACTGTACTGTGATACTGCCTTAGGAATCTAACATCATAATACCACAATACTACTCACAGAGAGGAGGAGGGGAGGGAAGGAAACATGAGATGTCTTAAATGTAGGTAAATGTATGTTTATCTTGTTTATAGGGGTGCAAGGGGCGGAATTATTGTCTGGTTTACAAAATTGCAGAAAATTGACTCTTTTAATTCCAACTAAAAAAATGAAACCCAAAAAATATAAAATTCAGTAAATATTTATAAAACAGTATTTTTTTTTCTTGGTGAATGACTAATTTGAAATTGCAGCGTGGGTCAGATTTATTAATAATGATCCAAAACTAGACAGAAGTTAGAAAAAAACAACTGAATGAAAGTCACTTTATGATGTCATGGAGCTCCGTGTGTATGCGCACTGCTGAGAGAATGAATGCAGAGACTTTGTGAGCTTTGCAGTTTGCATTATAAAGCAGTCAGTGATTTACCTGCCTGCGAACCTCAGCACAAAACAGTTTTGTTCACAACTTCTAGATCTCCACCTGCACCAATCGTACACATCGTAACGTCTTCCCCTCCAAAAAATGCAACATTCCCTGTGAGATTTGTCAAAGCCCCACAAGGAATAGGTACAAAATAAAGCATACAAACAGTTAATTAACCGTTTGCAGTTAATTAAAACTCAGATTGTTAATAAATCTGGCCCTAATTGATTTATCATTTGGGAACTGCAGTGATGTACACTTGTGCTCAGAGGTAATCTGAATGCACCTCTTGGACAAATAGGTGGGAAAAACGATCTCATTTGTAAAACACTTTTGTACCAGTACAGTTATATTGTGTCACTGTAGCGCTGATTGTCATATCAGTAACAGACTTAAGGAGTCTGTGCATTTTGCCAACCGTCTTTCAGCTCTGCTAACAAACCCGACCGCTGTAACACTGGATCTAAACGCATCCACCTGTTGTGTCTTTGCTCGTGGGAGAGTGTGTGTATGTGTGTGTGTAAATGTCGTTTATGGTAACAGGGTTTCGTGTGTATGCGTGTCTGCGCATGTAAAAATGAAAGAGCAAATACATGGAAAGAAAATCTGCCAAATGTTGTGGGATGAAGAGGAGGGGGAGGTTAAAAAAGAAAAGGAACGCCTTGGTTAAGATGAAGAGGGGAGGAGAGGTGTGTTCAAGAGGACAATCACTCCCTTAACCCCAGCTGAACATTTAGAGGACTGCTCGGAGAGGGAACTGAATCCTAAATGTTCCCTTGATGCCTCACTTTGCTTCTTCTTCCTTTACATCCTCCAAACCTGCGCAAACCCCTGCAGTGCCAGTTCTTCTGTCCGTATTGCTAGTTTTTAAACCTTAGCCTTGCCGTGTGCGTGTTCGTTAGATGGTTAAACTGTACTTTCACTGTTTCTGCTGTCACTGCTTTGTCACGCCGCTGTTCCCTGTTCTCAACGTGCCTCAGTGTCCATGTTGTTGCTGTCTGTCCTGCTCACGCTGCTTTCAGTAAGTCCAACTGCTTCAGATTCCTCCATTGAATTTTGACTTGGTTAAAAAAACAAAAGACGCAGCTTTGGTCTCTGGCTGCTTGTTCATGGTAACTGTACAGGGGTTGAATTTTGTAGGCAGCAGGTGTTGCTAATCTTTTGAGGTTTTTAGAGTTTTGAGGGGTTTTTGTTCACTGAATCTGGTTATTATCATTAAAAACTAATTGCTAGATTTTAGATTTTTTTTTTTTAAATGTTAGTTTGTGTTGAAATACACCATTTTATGTGTTTTAGATGGAGGGGTGATGTAGCCAGTGAAGTCTCGAGTTTATTGAATTTAACTGACATGAGACCAAACTGGAGGCTCAGACCATCCAAAACATTGAGGTTTACACCTGCTACTGACATGCTTCTGTTTGTGGACCGTGTGTCACGTTTTTAAAGTTAACTGCAGATCAGACGGCCGGTGAGGATTCTGAATGTGTGATTGGATCCTTTGCCTCTCTGGCTTACGTGGTCATGTGACTCATTCCTGCGTGGCTATCCATGCTCTCCCGTCCTCACACCCCAGCCTCCCCTTGTCCGTCTCTGTTTAGTTATGAATTGGCTGCCATTAAAAACTGCAACAGCCCACCTGCTTGTGCCACAGTGGTCCTCTCCTCCTCTACATCCACAGATTCAACTCCACCATCTTTTTCTTTCCTTCTGTTCTCGGCGGCCAAAACAAAATGAGGAAATGTAATAATCATTGTTTGGTAACTGTTTTTAGTGCTATGTTTTTGGAGCGTTACGAGTATTTTCTAACATGTTACAATAAAAGATTGTAGTGTACAAATTCACATTTATAAATATATATATATATAGATATATATGAGAAATGTATGTTCTAATGCAATAAAGAGAGATTAAGAATTACACGAGCTGGATCAGTCTCATTATTTACAATCTGTTTCTTCCTTAGATTTTATTGGACATACAAAATGAGGACATGCTTCTGTATTTTAATGAATTTTATTTTGACATTTATTTGTGTGATATGCAATACATTGAGTGACTTTGTGCTGTTTCAGTTGGTCTCCACACCTCAACCTTCTCAGACATAATCGTAGATCTCAAAAGTTGGATTAAAGCTTACAATGTCCACCGTGTGATTGCATTGTCAGCCTCATGAGGCAGACAATGATAGCTCTGTTTTCCTGGTGCTGAGTGAGGGTTTGAAAATGCCAGAGTTCATTTCTGAAACTAAGAACGGATCAACCTGCCACACCAATGACCACCTGAGGGCGCTGCTGAGCCATCAACTACATGGTATGACTGATCTTGAGCTTCAGTCGACCAGAGGTGGCAAAAGTACAGACATTCTGTACTGAAGTAGAAGTACAGATGCTAGTGTTAAAAATACTCCAGTACAAGTTAAAGTACTGATTCAACTTCTTTACTCAAAGTGAAAAAGTAGCTCTTTGGAGCACGCTGTTTGTGCAAAGCTAACTGAACCTTGTCCTACATTAAAGTAACAATTAAATAATATTAGTGAGTATAATACTGACTTTATTTCAGTCTAAATTTTAATTCTAATAAAGGTACTCAGCTTTAATCAGGTAAGTAGAACACCAGCAAAGATGTTGCCTCTAAACAGGAACATGAGTAGGGAAGAGGTTCAGTGGAATTCAGCAGGTGGGGAACGCATAAAGTCAGCTGTAGTGGCTCAGTGTGGGGAAAAGAATCACAACTCACAATCATTTCTATTGAGAGCTCCAGTTTTTTTTGTTTTTTTTTAGTCTACAAGTTGTGGTCAGCTGGCCTGCTTGTCAGCAGATGCTTCATGAGTTGTCCTGGCTGATTTCCATCCTCTTCACTGACAGTACACTGTGTATGCTGTCTTTATACTAGACAGTATACAGTTGGTATGAAGGTCGAATTCAGTAAATGAATCTCAGCATCATCATCTTGATTTTAAATTAATCTCTGCTGCATTTGGTGTTAGCTGCCTCTCACCATGGAACTGCAGCCACTGTGCACCAGTCACACACACTGTCCTCTCCTTTTTTTTACTGTTTGGCCACTAGATGGACACGTGGGACTCCAAGTGGCTCAGAATCATACACAGCAGTAAATGTGAAACTGTGCAGCTCAATCTGCTCAGTCACTGAAATGTGTTGTAATTTAGTAATCCACATTTCCATTTACTGTTGATGGTGATTTATGTTACTTTTTAATTCAGTAGGTTTGTTATGATATCTCAGAAATGCTAATCCTACGATAACAAATAAAATATAATCTATATGGTAACGTGATAGTCACGAGCCTTGAAGCCAGTCATGAGCGAGCCTCTTATTTTTATCATACCATTAGACATGAACCTAAACAGGAAGTCATTAACAGGCAAGCAACATTTAAACTCAAAGCCTCTGCACAGTAGACACACTGTGTAAGCTGCACCCCTCTGGTACAGGTCAGGCATCCTGGGTTTTTGTCAGACAGGTTCTGTATGATATGTTCATTTCAGAATATTTTCTTTAACCATAAACCTCAGTAATTCCAACCTGGTTCTGTCATGGTCCTGGTCTGGTGACCCAGTCCATGTGTTTTTGAGTGTGGTTAATAATTCTTGGTTTTGTATCAGTTATGGTTGTTGTTACTTTTTAGTCTCTGGGTTTCAGACTGTGTTTATTGGGTTAAAAGGCTATTCTAAGTTAGATTATTGTCACAGTCCTGGGTTTTTTGACCCAGTTTTTTTGTGTTTCATAGCATTTTGATATTCATTGTTTATGTTTTGTTATATTTAGTCTTCTTTAGCACCTAGGTTTCCTAGTTTTAGTTCTTTGTTCATGTAGAATCACGGTGCCATCTCGCCCCGTGGTAAGTTTCCCTTGTTGATTAGTGTGTCTAATTTGTCATGTCTCATGTCTGCATGGTTTATATTGTCAAGCCTGTGTTGTTATGTCTGTCCCATCATGTTTCCTGTTTTATTTTGAAAGAGTCTGTTCTTTGTTCATTGTATTTAGTTTTACCTCCCTGTCCCGTCATTAGGTTCATGTGTGTCAGCTGTGCCCTCATGTGTCTCCACTCCCCCTGATCACCTCATGTCTGTATTTAAGCCTCCCTTGATCATTGTCACGTCGTCTGTGTTACTGCCTCATGTTTTCATAGGTCTAGTTAGTGATGGCCAAATGAAGCTTTCTGAAGCATTGAAGCTTGTGTTGAAAAGCGGTTCATTACTCGAAGCTTTTCAACACAGTCCTCTCTGGTGACATCTGGTGGCCAGAAATATGAAGAGCAGCTTGAATCCACAAAATAAAACCAACTGCTTCATTATGATTGCCCACTCTACTGTGTGGAATCCTGTCTGATATTGGGCCTCCGTTGTGTTGCTTTGAACGTGTATTTTTTGGTGGTTAAGAAAATGTGTTTTATTTGTTTAATAAATAGTTTTGACCAGTAAACTCTCCTTGTTAAGCACCATGGTGTGGTCTTTCTTTGCTTGTGACTTCTTGATGTTGGTAAATACAATAATTGAAAAATACCACGTTACATATAATATACATATGATAATGTAAAACACATTATGGAGTATGCTTCCGCTGTGAGGTCTTGCCTCCATGCAGGCATGCAATTAATCGCCGGAGGGGTGTATTTATAAATAATATTATATTAGGGAAATTTTCCCAGACATATTTTTGACCTGGGGGTAGAATTGATTGTGAAATGGAAAAGGAAAATGCTTATGAACTTGCAAATTAAAAACATGATGCATTTAAGGTAACCCTTTTTCATTTTTATTTAAAAAGAGAATTTGTTCTAGTGTGCGATGGCCGAACCTGTTCCTTTTTGTGGAGATAATTTTTCCTGCCCTAAGGAAAATCCCTTCACAGAGGAGGAGGCTGGAGTGCAGAGAAACTGGTAGAGATGCAGTTATACAGTCTGGGCCCCACAAACTATCAGCTAAAGAGAATAAAGAAATTCAATTGCTGCACATTTGGCAGACTAACATTTTCAGATTAATTAAACAATAAAATATATATTTTTACAACATTACATGTAAAGAATCAAGTGGAAGTTTTTCTAAAGTTATTTAATGATATTTATATTATGGAAGCAGATTTTTGACATTTTACCCATTTCCCGTTTTCAGATATAATAAACACGCACAAAACAAAAGCAAACGGCCAGAACACAAAGCTGGAAAACCCACCCGATTGACAAAAATCAACTCAAAATACTCCCACACAACAGAACCTCCTCTATTCCTCGCTGGCTCCAAATCTCTCAGTGGAATGATCAGTGGTTCGCTACCTGTCACCATCAAAACACCACAAATCCCGCGAATGATTCGCTTCCATTGAATCAGATACCGAAGCAGTTAGGTACTAAATGAAGCTTCGGACGTCACTGATCACGTGACTCTGGCCAAACGAATCAAGCTTCGACACAGAGCTTCTGAAGCAGTGTGTTGATTTTTTTGACACACGCACCGGAGCTTCAGCTTCAAGCGGACCATCACTAGTGTCATGTGTAGTTCCGTGGTCCCATGTCACGTCATCTATGACCAGTTAGAAGTTTCTTAGTTGCAGTCCATGTTTGGTTTGTTTCTTTAGTATTCATGTATTTT